GCCTCGGCCTGGGGCATGCCCATCACTATTCTATTTTACTTTTTAGACCTCCGTCCATCTATACTCTTCTGCTTTCCCTTCAAAGTTTTGCCTGTGTTGTGTCTGTTTAAAACATCGGTGGAAGTCTTGCTGGTGGTGGTGGCCAGCATCGAATAGGGCATCTGATCACAACCGTGCTCCATCTTCAACACCTCTGGTGTGTTTGTGTTCATCTGGGTGACTAGAGAAACAAACTCCTAGACACGCATATGTGCATAAGAAAGAGCTTTATGTACAAGAGCAATTGTATACTGAGAAACACCCCAGCCCAGTCCATAAGTCCAATACCAATCTATGAATTCCTCTTCTGACTCACACAGCACATGCAATGACGCCGAATGCAGGCAGATCACAGGCCAGTGGGTGGAAAGTCTTGTGGATCCAGTGGCGGTGGAAGCATCTCAATGCTGGCAGGGGTCTCCGCATGGCTCCTCCAGACCAGGACTCTAGCGGAGCTCCACTGTCTTGTCAGCAGTTAGAGGGAGCAGAGAGCCTGTCTATATCTGGACTCCAGAGAGCTATTTATCTCGGTGGCACCTCCAAATGAGGTCATCAAGCTGCGACCTGATTGACAGGCTAGACTCCACCCCTTCGCAAGTTGACAGATTATGTAACTGCCACTGTCATGGCCGGTGGATCCACCCATCTCTTGGAGGGTCTCCTGGGCTTTCAGTGCCCCTCTCTCTACCAACCTGTGCTGCCCTGTCCTTCCTTCTGACACGTGCACGCTCGCGTCTGAGGAGCTTTTTGGTTGCTATCTCTTGTGAATCCGACTTGTTTCCTCCCCTGCCACTCCATTGCGTGTTCGTGTTTCTGCCACCGGACTTGGGCTGCATGGTTCCTCGCCTGACTTCCTTAATCGCCCAGCTTTTGCATGCGGATGAGGCGATTGAGGGAAACTAGTTATTGGGGCCACAGAGAGACACTGCTGTCGAATTGATCCTGGCTCCTGGCCAGTCCGTGTGTGTCAGCGTAGAGCTAGGCTCCGTCAAGTGGTGGTTTTGTGATCGCTGTTTGCCGTAACATCACAGAAGACAAACAAAAACATCGAAATGGAACTGCTTCTGAACTCCTCCTCTGTCTAAGTCCATCCCTTCTGAAGGAGTGTCTTCTCCTATCTCATCCTTCCACAATGAACCCTCCACACACGTCAGTGGCGCACCTCCACAGGGATTCCAGTGGATGGTTTGAGGGACGCAGGTGGCCAGGCCTTTCTTTCGCGGCACCTCCAGGCGAATGCAGACCTCCACCGTCCCGCAAATGGCCAAGCATGTGATCCACTGTCACCAGACGGGGACTCCAAAGAGCATGAAAGGCTGGCACGTGTAAGCACCCAGGCCCCAGGTGAGCCGTGGCCCATCCTTTTGTAACTGTGTATCACTTAAGGGGAGTTTCAGTGGGGACTGTCAAGAGGCCAAGCAGATCTGTCTTGGGAGAAGTACAGGCAGGGTGCTCCTCTGAGGCGAGGACAGCAAGACGTCGTCGTACATACTTTGGACATGTTGTCAGGAGACAGCGGTCCCGAGAGACATCATGTGTGGAAGAAGAGGGGCAGTGGAAAAGAGGAAGGCCCTCAGGGATGGACACAGTGGCTGCGGCAATGGGCTCGGGCATCGGAACAGTGGTGAGAATGGCGCAGGACTGGGCAGGGTTACCTTGTGTCCCACTTGGCGGCGGCGCCATGGGGCAGAACTGACTCGGTGCCACCTACCCACCACATCAGTGCAGACGTCTTTCTTTCTTTCTTTCTCTCTTTGTGTGTGTGTGTGGAAGTATAGATTTTATGAGTTGTTCGAAGTATACTTGAATTCTGGCTATCAGTGAAGTTAGCTTTTATGAAGGGGCTTCAAAAAGTTCATGGGGAGTTTTCCAGTATCGTTTCTATCCATTTTTCCACACCCGTTTGGAAGCCCGCTCCTTGTCTTCAGGCCTTTATACTATCCCCTATATCGTATAGGGTATATCCTATATCCTCTGCAGATACAGAAGCGCTCATTGTTCCAGTCGTGAACGTGGGAGCATGGGCCTTGCTGTGACCGCCTTTAACAGCAACCGTGGGTAAACCGTATGACTCCAGTTTCCTAGTGAACTGACCACTCTCTTAAGAAGATGTAACTGCAGAGCTGATCAGAAAGAAGACGTTTATAGTGTGCTAGTGGATGGCATCGTCGCGGAAGCCCTGCCTGCTTGTTTCTTGAGACGCTCGCCTGGCCCGAGAGAAAAGACACGGCTTCTGATCCAAGGAGTGAGACTCGGTGCCCTGATGGTTCTGACACGCCCGCGTCCCCTCCCACTGTGCCCCCGTTAGCCACCCCACCTCGTGGTGACTCCCGTCCGTGCCTGATCCCGCCCCAGCTTCTGGTGGCTGGTGTGTCTTCCTTGTGACCATGGTGTCACGCAGCTTCTCGAGGGGCCCCAGGCTAAGCCGACTGTCAGCTTCACCACACATGCTGCCTGCGGCAACAGTCGGTCTTTCCCGGTCCCCTGTCCTAAGGAAGGCAGCCTCCCTCCCAGGGCGCATCCGGCGGATGGTCCCCAGTGTGTCCCCAGTCTGATCCTCCAGGCCCGCAGTGCTGGGATTCTCTGTCTCAGGGTGACTACGCCCCCACCCCATCCAGGCCGGAAGGCTGTGTTCGCCTTGGTCACACACCATCCTGCAGAGTTCAGTCCAGAGTGGGGATGGTGTTTATTTTTTCATTTGTCATTATGTCAGCTGTTATTCCTGTCTTATTTGTTGTTTTGGGGTTTGGGGGAGGGGTTGCCTTCCACAGAGTCAAGCTTTGGGGGTGGGGGGGGTGAGACACAAGGGAATGAACTGGGAGCGCACAGCACAGGGCAAGCAGATCCTGTCCTCAGCAGTCCAAGTTCAGACCTCTCTGCCCCGCAGAGGAGCCCATGGTGGGCTCGGCGAGGTCCGCGTGGGACAGATCGTAGGAACACGTGGCACATCAAACCTCCGGGGCTCGGTTACAGGGACTGTTAGGTGTTGTTGCTAGGGGCCTTCGGGTGGGTTCTGACCCCCAGCGACCTCATGGACAACAGATCCGCACACTGCCCGGTCCTGCGCCTCCTCACAATTGCTGTCAGGTTCAATCCAGTCTATTTGACCGTGCAAGGGAACTAGAGGGACTTTTTGTTTGTTGAAGAGGGGGAACCAACTTAAAAAATAACAATAAACGAGTCCTGGAGGAAGACCGTGGTTCTGTGCGTCAGCAGTGGATCGCTTTCTGACTTTCAGGCTTTCTCGGCAGCAGCTTTGTCACATTTCAGAATTTTTATTCCTCCCCCCACCCCCGGCTATGTGAATTTTCGAGGAGCCCTGGTGGTGGTGTGGTCACCCATCAGGCGGCTGACCAAACCACCAGCTAATCCGAAGGAGAGCGGCAGGGCTTGCTGCGCCCATGACTGGTTTCAAACTTGGGAACTCACGGGGACAGTTCTGCCCTGTCCTATGAGGTCACTGTGAGTCAGCAGCCGCTCCATGGCAGGGAGTTTGGTTGGGGTTATATGGATTTTGGTGCATTTTTTGCAATAGAAATTGGTCTGCGTGGCCATTATATCATGCATCTAGGGGTGTTCTAACTACTTGAGGGACAGATACATTAATGTATACAAAAAAACAGCACTGCCATCAGGTCAGTTCCAAATATACAGCGCCCCCCTCTATTGGAGAATCTCTGAGACTGCAGCGCTTCATGGGAGCAACAGCCTCGCCTTCCCCCCACAGAGCAGGTGCTGGGCGTGGTTGACCCAGCAGCCAGGTTAGCCCAGAACCTAACCCACAGCATCACCGGGGTTCCTTACATAAGCACTCCACATTCTTTCTCTTTGTTACAGATAAGTTTTGTAACCAGTCATTACAAAGTGGCTCTCTGGAAATACAGAGAATCCAGGTCAGATAAACCCCTCAGGACCAATATTGAGAGTAGCGATACCAGGAGGGGAAAGGCGAAGGTGTGGGGAGGAAAGGGGAACCAATCGCAATGATCTATCTATAACCCCCTCCCAGGGGGATGGACAACAGAAAAGTAGGTGAAAGGAGATAGTGGTCAGTGTAAGACATGAAAAAATAATAATAGTTTATAAATTATCAAGGGTTCGTGAGGGAGGGAGAGTGAGGGGGGGGGATGAAGAGCTGATACCAAGAGCCCAAGTAGAGAAAGAAGATGTTTTGAGAATGATGATGGCAACAAATGTACAAATGCGCTTGACACAATGCATGGATGGATGGATTGTGATGAGTTGTACAAGCCTCCAATAAAATGATTAATAAATAAATAAAAAGTGGCTCTCAATCAGGGTGCAATATAGCACCGACAAAAGACAACATTCCTCTAGTTTTTTAATGCTTCCTTCCCCCGTCCCCCTATCATGACCCCAGTTCTACCTTACAAATCTGGCTAGACTGGAGCATTTACAGTGGTACAGACATGAACTCTTAACATACAGAATCCAGGACAGAGAAACCCCTCAGGAACAGTAATAGGAGTAGCAATACCATGAAGGCAGAGGGAAGGTGGGGGGAGAAAGGGGGAACCCATCACAATGATTGACATACAATCACATACACACACACACAAACGGGGATGAACAACAGAAATGAAGGGAGACAGTGGACAGTGGAAAATATGAAAATAAAAATAACTTATAAATTATCAAGGGTCCTGGAGGGTGGGAGGGGATGGGAGGGAGGGGGAAAAAGAAGAGGTGACACCAAGGGCTCAAATAGAAAATGTTTGGGAAATGATGATGACAACAATGTGCTTGATTCAATTGATGTAGGGATTGTTGTCAGAGCCCCCACTAAAATGATGCATTTCAGTAAATAAATAAAAAGTGGTGCTGTCTTCGCACAGCAGAGTTAATGTAGCACATCACTGTAGTCGTGACTAGAAGCTGCACCTGAATGATACCTGGGAGAGGACGGCCTACTGAAGGCATCCTTCTCGTTGATTCCACAGGATTACCTGGACTGTATCAGGGACCAAACCAAGCTGCCTCTGGGCGAAGAGGAGCGAGCCGCCCTTTTTGGCAACATCCAGGACATCTACCACTTCAACAGGTAAGTCAGTACCCGCCAGCGGAATGAACTCCAGTGGGAGCGGCCGGCCTTCATAAAGGTGTGGGGGCTCTCCTGCCAGGAGGAAAATGGCAGCAGACCAGGTCCCAACTGAGCAAGCTGCAGGCAAGCTATAGGACAGGGTAGAACTGCCCCCATAGGATTCCAAATTTATAACTCTATGGCGGTAGGGAGCCTCATCTTTCTCCCGCAGAGCAGCTGATGGGTCCAAGCTGCTAACCCTGCAGGTAGCAAACCCAGTGCATGACCGCTACACCCTAGGCCTCCTTGGCGGGCCAGGATAGGATTGAAAACTCAGGAGGATTGTTTGTCTTCCTTTACAGGGAGTAAAGAGTGGTGCTACTTTTGTTTTCTACCCCTTACATATTTTTCTGGTCTTATTGCTTCGGGTGAGATTGCTCTTAGAATGTTGGCATTGTTTTTGACAGTGGCAGGAATGTTTTAACTAGGTTGCCATCAAGCATATGTCCTGTGAGATAAGCATTCCTTTTGACTCCACTAAGATTTTTTGGTGAATGTCTTGAATTTTGTTGGCTGCTTCACCATCTGCCTTGAGTAAAATGAGCATATAGGTCTTCTTCTATTCATACAGTCATCTGTTAACATGGAAAGGCACTCTGACTTCATTCACATATACGGTACATTATGGGAATAACCCCTACTATTTTACGTAAGAGATAGATATCCGTTCCCTGCCTGTTGATAAATGAGACTGGCATATGATTTCTTACGGAGTCTTTGTTTGATTTTAGTATATGACTCAATTTAAAGTCATATTCAAACTCTTCCCCATCATGAAATGTTGTGGAATATGATTCAGACTTCATTTTTGCTTGCTTTTCAGTAGGTAAATTATCTATCTATCTATCATCTGACTGTCCTTCTCTCTATCTGTCATCTGTCTGTCTATCGTGTGTCATCTGTCTGTCTCTGTCATCTCTCTAGCTATAGAGCTCTAGCTCTGGCGCTCCATCTCTCGTGGTTCCTGTGACAGTCCACAAATTTAGGTCTCGGGAATAAATCCTGGAGAGGTCAGGAAACGGCGTCAGTCGAACGAAATCACTTTCCCCTGTTGAACCTGCCCCCTGAAATCCCAGGCCTTCTGTGCCAACCGGTTCACCCAGCATCCCTCTCGTGGACTGGAAAAGAGATATCTGAACTGCAACTTGGACCTTTCATCGGGATTCAAGTGCAAAGACACAGGGACCGAGGCTCCATACTGAGTTTCTATTTGTAAATCACCTCTTGGTATTTTAAAATCACCCGCATGGATCAGAATACACTCAACTTTTTCGTTCAGCTCCAGGTCTTTTTCCAGTCCGTTTCTGTGGAGGGGCTGCTGGGTAGGAAACTCCAGAAAGTCTAGTGGTGTTGAGCTGAATGGTCCCATTGTGAGTCAGCTCATCACCAAATGAACAGCGCTTTGAGAGCGCTGAGGACCGTGCCAGGGATGCGTCCGAGGGAGGTAGTGAAAGCTTCTCACCAAGGAACACATGCCTTAAGACAACACCACACATTCTTTGGGCCATGCGTTTTGTTTTTCTCTTCCTTACAACTGATTCATGGACTACAGATCACAGCAAGCCAGAGGGCTGGGCAGCAGTTCCCTCTCTTTCCAGAACCTTCTCATCCCCTGGCCCTGTGTGCCTGCCCTCTCCAACCAGTTGAAGTAAACTCCACCTCCGGGCAGACCATTCTATGTCAGGGGGTTTCAACTATTAATTTTTCTGAAGTCGGGCTCCAGCCCTGCGGGTGGACTCAAACCTCTGACTCTTCAGAAGCAGGTTCACCACTTGTCCCGCCCAGGGACTTCAATGCCCCCTAGCCTAGCACGTTATTTTACAGTTAGTCATCTTCTGGATGTTCATGCTTCTTGTCTACCAGATGCCAGCCACACTCGCTTCCTTTCTTACCCCAGGACCCCATTCTGCCCTAACAGCCCCCGTTCTTCATGACTTTCTCAGACAAGCCTCCCCCACTCAACAGAGCCCACCTTCTCAGGGAGCGTCCCACAATTGCCCATACCCACCCACACTCTGCCTCGGTTACTCTCCAGCACAGAAACCAAAGCCAAACCAAATCCACTGCCGCCGAGTTGATGCTGAATCACAGTAACCCTCTAGGACAATGCAGATCTGTCTCTTTGGGTGGCTGACACCATACATCTTTGAAAGAGCAGACAGCCTCATCTTTCTCCTAGAGCTGCGGTTCTCAACCTGTGGGTCATGACCCCTGTGGGAGACAAACAACCCTTTCACAGGGGTCACCCAATTCATAGCAGTAGCAAAATGACAGTGATGAAGTAGCAATGAAATAATGTTATGGTTGGGGGTCACCACCACTTGAGGAACTGTATGAAAGGGTGGCGGCATGAGGAAGGTTGAGAGCCACTGTCCTAGAGCAACTGGTGGGTCCGAACCATGAAGCTTGCTTGCTGTGAGCATCTCAATGGCTAACCCAGCCTGTCTCCAGGATCCCTTCTCTATGGCATGGGCCTCTTTATTTCCTTTATATCTCTTAGTCAAAGGTGGTAGAGCTGTTTGTTTATACACTGACTAATGTTAATCAGCCTTGATCAGAACTAGGTGCCAGAGTGCGGGACCTTTGTCCACCTTCTCGAGCCGCATTCTCTCCGCGCCTACAGTGGCAATGCCTGACACGAGGGACTTCAAGAAATGCTTGCTAAATGAAGGGCCCAGTGTTGCAGCTGCTGTCAGTCCATCTTGCTGCAGGTCTTCAACAGCAAGGATGTTGTAAGGATGACACAGGGTGGACAGTGTTTCATTCTGTTCAACATCGGGTCACTGCGAGTTGGAATCCACCCAGTAGCAGCTAACAAGGAGCAAAGAAACAAAGCGCAAACCGGATGGGTAAGACAGCTGTGTTAGGATGACAGCCTGATGACAGGTGCCCGAAAGAGGCCCCATGAGTGTCTCCTCTCTCTTCCCATTTTCCATCGGCTCATCAGAGTTTTAGGGAAGCTCTGTAGAGGAGAGCTGGGCAGGTGATTCAAACTGGACATCTCGGGTCGACAGCACCGTGTTGAAGACACCGGTGCCGAAGCTAGCTGTCAAGTTTCCTGATCATTGGATCTTCCCATCATTGTCTAAGTAGGGCACAGGAGTGGACTCAAGAGGCCTGATACCAGTCCCAGCTGTGGCCCTGAGGCGAGCCACCTCCCACTCGGGCTTAGCTCATCTTCCAGGCGTGGGCTGCATCCCCGCCCAGTGTTGGCATTCCGGAGCATTGGGGAACAATCACTTATTCACAGAGGCCAGTGTACCTGGAGCTGGGCGGCTTCTCCAAGACACTTCCTCCTGGGCAGGAAGTCAACTCAAGATGGCATGACAGCCCTGACACAGAGCGTGACGACATAGAATGTAGCGCGTGGGAAATTGACAGCATTTGTCTGTTGACTTAGGAGAAGGAACCTGAGGGATCCTGGTCAAAATCCGCTGATGTTCAGATAGAGGATTTCTGTTGAAAGGACTCGACACAAAACCAACGGAGGTGGGAGACACTGGCTGCTCGGCATTGAGTATTTCTATATCTATGTTCCTAGAACGATTTCTAGTTTTCTAGGTTTCTAGAATGATTCTATTCTGAGTCCAATGGTCAGGTCACAGTGATTAGACCTCAGCTGTCTGTAATGTACTCACACCCCTCTTTCTGAAGATAAACAAAAGGAAGGAATCACTATCCATTGAACTGGGTCCCCTGTTCATAATACATGCATATGTTATAAATCCTAGCCTCTATGCCTGGGCTCATAATCTCATGGGTTGTCTCTGTGATGTTAAAGAGATTAGGGAAGGTTGTCTATTGAGTCCATTGCTTTTGAGATCACCAGAAACTCCAAGTTCACTGCCATCAAGAGGATGCCAACTCATAGTGACCCTATAGGACAGGGTAAAAGTGCCCCTGTGAGTTGCCGAGACAGTAACTCTTTATGGGAATAGAGAGCCCTGTCTTTCCCACAGAGTGGCTGGTGGTTTCAAACTACTGACCTTGCAGATTACAGCCCAATATGTAACCTCTTTGCCCCCAAGGCTCCTCTTTTGAGATAGGAAAGAAATCAAACCAGGCAGCTGGAGAAGCAGCCCTGGGGAAGACAGCCTCCAAGCCGTGTGAAGACGGCTCATGTGCAGAAGCTCGGATGAGAACAGGACCATGCTCCGTAATGGACATTTGGGGTGTCTGCCCCTCAGATGCGGAAGGACAGATGGAGAGTCCCAGATATTCAAGGAGAGCCTCTAGCTCGAACCTCAGAAGCCAAGATGATCAGAAGCAGGAACTTGGCAGACACACACGTAACAGCGGGAGGAAGAGGAAAGAAAAGTCTCAAACCATTGGCATTAGTCAAATCCTTGGCAATAAGAGACTATCTTGTAGCCACAGAGCAGCTGGTGTGTTTGAACTGCCCACCTTTCGATTAGCAGCCTGATGCTTGTCCCACTGAGCTACCAGATCCCTCTCCCCCCTTTGTTAAAACCCCAGACCAGATCCATCAACCTTGAGTCCATACTGGCTGATAGACACCGTTTAGGACAGAATAGAGCTGCTGCTTAGGGCTTCCAAGCCAGTGAATCTTTATGGGGCCCAGGAGCCTCCATCTTTCTGCCAAGGGGCAGAGCAGGGGTGGGGTTGGTACAGTTAATCTTGCTGTTAGCAGCCCAACACTTAACCCACGGAGCCACCAGGGCCCCTTTGTCTTGTTCGCTGACTTCAAGTCAGTTCTTCCCTCCTATGTCCAGACTAAAACTGTGTTGTTGTCAAGCCCGTGGCCTTTTGGAAGCACATAATTCCACCTGCCTTCTGAGATGCCTCTCAGTGGGTTCAGACCAACAACCTTCTGGCATTTAGCTCAGCTATGGCACCACCAAAGACAAGGTCACTGTGTCTTAAAACAAACACACACAGTGCTATTTTATGGATTCCCACTCAGAGTGACTCCAGAGGACAGCATAAAACTGCCTCTGCGGGTTTCTGAGGCTAGAAATCTTCGCAGAAGCAGACAGCCTCTTCTTTCTCCTGGGAGCTGCTAATGGGATCAAACTGCCGACCTGTGGTTAACAGCCCAGAGTGTAACCCACTACGGCAAAAGGACTCTTTCCACGTTGGTTGTGTTGTGGTTGTTGTTGTTAAGTGGTATGAAGTCAGTTCTGACTCACAGCCACCCCACGCAAAACAAAACAAACGAAAGACTGCCCAGCCCTGAAAGTGGATACGTTTGAGCCCATTGTTGCACCCACTGTGTCAGTCCATCTCACTGAGGATCTTCCTCCTTTTCATTGACTCTCTACCAACCAGGATATCCTTTTCCAGGGACTGGTCTCTCCTAATGTGTCAGTCCAGCTAGACTAGAGTGCAAGGGGAAGCCAGCCCCTAGCACATCATCACGGGTCCAGTAGGTGCAATTGTACAGCGATAATAAGTAAAGATTATAGTAAAGTCATAGAGAGCATGAGAGATAGAAGAGAGATGTTGAAATAATGGAGTCAGACACAATTCATGGTAGCAGTGCTCACCTCAGCCCTGCTTGGTGGTCCACGTGGAGAGAGAGAGAGATATTTAATGCTATCCAAGGCTTTTATATTCTCTGGGGACAGGCAAGCCCCCTAATTACAGGTGAAGACATACGTCACAGGAAGGGGTTGTGCTATAGGTAATGCAGTAATGGGAGGGGGTGATCTAGGGGTATCCACGCAATAGGAAGAGGAGGGATTGGGGGTATACATGTGGCAAGATGGGCAGATCCTAGATACAGGATGGCAGCCTAACTTTGGATGTCACAGAACCCATTTGATCTGTTCCCTGGCTCAACTGATAGAGACCATTATCGGCATAGTGTGAGCTCCACCTATAGGAACCAAATCAATGGCTGCGGGCCTGTCTGTTGTCCTTGAACAGCAGGGAGCGGGGCCTACCATGTAGCCTGGCGACTAACATCAGGGAGGATGTCTGTAAGCATCTAACCTCCCCCCACACTAGAGAAACAAATTCATGGACCCTCATATGTGTATAAGAAAGAGCTGTATATACAAGAGCAGTTGAATATTGAGAAAATATCCCAGCCCAGTCCAGATCAAGTCCATAAGTCCAGTATTAGCCCATATGTCTGATACCAATCTATAAAGTCCTCTACAGACTCATAGAACACATGCAATGACTCTAAATGCAGGAAGATCACAGGCCAGAGGGTGGGAAGTCTTGTGGATCCAGTGGCATTGTAAGCATCTCAGTGCTGGCATGGATCTTCACGTGGCTTTTCTGGCTCCAGAGGTCTGGCTCCATCAGCCTCTCCCCATGTGTCTTTTCCACAGAGATGTGTCTCAGGGAGTGAGTTGAGAGAGAGGAAGAGAGAATGAGTGGGTCTCCTGCCTCCAAGGAGGAATACCGGAGTTCCCAGAATCCTCAGGAGAAGGCCATGTCAACACAGAGGCCTCCTTGGCCATCACCTGCTGGACAGGCCAGACTCTACTGCCTCACTCCTAATCCTCTCAAATTGACAAATGGTTATATAACTAGGACACCTGATAAAATGTCCAAAGCATGTGTTAAAGTCTCACCATCTTAGCTTCTAAAGGAGCCTGCTGGCTGCACTTCTTCCAAGACAGATATGCTTGTTCTTTGGGTACTCTGGGGCACTGTTACTAGTCTGCACCATAATCCAAGTGCAGTGATTCTCCTCTTTCCCTTACTCCTTGTCCACAGCTGTCACATGCAGACGAGGGGATTGAAAATACTAGGGCTCAGGCTTGGCACACCTTAGACCGCAAAGTACATCGTTTCCACACTTCAGCACTTCAAAGAGGTCTGTGCGGCAGGTTCGCCCAGTGCAATACGTCATCTGGAGGGCTGCTTCCGCGAGCACTGAGAGTGGCTGCAAGTCAGATGGACTCCCGACAGCCTCAGCCTTTCCTGTTTAGCAGCATGTTCTTTACTGCCCAGTTTTCAGTGTCCCTTACACACTTAAAAATTACCAAGACACAGAGAGCTTTCCCTCCCCCTCCCCACCCCAATTTGGCTCAGTCCATGAATAAAGACCCACCCTGCAGCTATTATCACATTGTGGTATGACGGTAGCAAGGAAGAGACTAAACGTTTCTAGAATTTAAAAAATAAATAAAAACTGGGTTACACAGAACATGATCAGGATGGCATTGGACTTTCTAAATAGCACCATTGGAACTTATGAAACAGCAGATGGTCCCCTAAATACTCTGAGAAAAGGACTTCCCACACAGCATTCTACTTCTGCTGACATTACCAAGAGAGCAGGGAGAACATTCTGGAACACGAAGACTCAGAAAACGCCCCTCCTGTAGACATAGGGTTGCCCTGAGGGGGACAGTGCACCAGCGACTGGTTTGGTCTTCTTATGGCTGTCCATGTCACTGCCTTGATGAGAGAGCCAGCTGGGTCATCGTCTCCCGAGGAGGGAGCACAGCCCGCCTGTTCTCTAGGAAACAAGTGTCTGGCCCTAGGGTAGAGAAGGGCTCTCAATGTGGCCCTGAGGACAGGCCAGCAGGCCTGCAGAGCACTGTCTAGTATGGGCCTAGAACAGAGGACACCCGGAAAAGGCCATCGAGAAGAAATGTGGTTGATGGGCTATTGAAGGTTGGATCACAGTGAGATGCTAGGATCACTTCTAGTACAAAGAGCGCTGTGTGCTTAATGATCAATGAGCGGTGTGTGCTGAAACACAGAGCAAAGAAATGTGAAAACGTAAACTCTGGGAACAGAAAGTTGTACAAGAGGAAATAGGATCATGGTACATGCCTGAGCTCAGCTGGGAGTCATATTTACATCATCTGAAAAATGTGAGCACGGAGGAGTTGTAATCTGATCAAATTTCATAATAGTGAGCCCATGCGGGGAGAGACAGTGTGAAGGAATGAAGAAGTGAGTAGCATCTAAAACAACAAGGAAAAGGCAGTGTTGGCTGCTCAGAAATAGGGGCCTGCGTGCGGCAGAAACAGCAAAACCGCTGAAACAAGTCGCCCACGGCAGTCCTTCTGCGGGAAGTATGCTGAGCGGAACTGCTGGTTTTGATCATAATTCCTGTAGAAGCATTTCATTTTTATTCCACACGCAGACCATAGGCATTTAAAACCAATGCATAAAGTACTAAAAGATGTACTACTACCACTTAATACGGAGTACAGTTTGGGAGTATATTAACATTTCCTTTGGCCCAGAAGTCCTACTTAGATCATTTTGCCCAACAGTGAGAAGTTAGTTAGGACATTTGTGGTACATCCTCACGAAGGAGTAAGTGTCTAGTTACTTAAAAGAATGATAAACAGTAAGCACACCAGCCTATGCAACCACGAGGTGTCGAAGGGATCAGGTGTAAGGCATCATCAGAACAAAAAATCTTACCATAGTGAATGATGGGGGGAGTGCGGAGTGGAGACCCAAAGCCCATTAGTAGGCCACTGGAGATCCCCTTGCCAGATGGGTCTCGGGGAGGAGACGAGCCAGTCAGGGTGCAATGTAACAACGATGAGAAATACAACTCTCCTGTAGTTCCTAAATGTTTCCTCCCCGCTCCCACTACCATGACTCGAATTCGACCTTGCAAGTCTGGCTAGACCAGAGGATGTACACTGGTACAGATAGGAACTGAAAATACAGGGAATCCAGGGCAGATGAGCCCTATAGGACCAGTGGTGTGAGTGGCGAAACAGGGAGGGTGGAGGGAGAGTGGGTAGGAAGGAGAGAACCGATTACAAGGGACTATATGTGACCTCCTCCCTGGGGGATGGACAACAGAAAAGTGGGTGAGGGGAGACGTCGGACAGGGCAAGATATGACAAAATAACAATTTATAAATTATCAAGGGCTCGTGAGGGAAGGGGAGTGGGGAGGGAGGGGACAAATGAGGACCTAATGTCGGGGGTTTAAGTGGAGAGAAAATGTTTTGAGAATGAAGTACAAAGGCGCTTTACACAATTGATGTGTGTATGGATTGCGATAACAGTTGTATGAGCCCCTAATAAAATGTTTTTTTTTTTAATGAATGTAAACAGCAACAACAAAAAAAAAACAAACAAAACCCGGACCAGTTTTCGTTGCCCTCGGCTACCACCCTGAGCCAGAGGACCAGAGCTCTGGCATCATCAGAAGATTGCCCAGGCCTCTCTTTCGAGCTCCCTCTGAGTGGGCTCAACCCTCCAACATTTTCACTGACAGCCAAGCACATACCACCCAGGGATACCTGTGACAGGGTTTATCGCTGGGAGAGGTGGCTTACTGGTCCAACCTCTGCTCATGTCCCTCTGACTGTCTGACTCAGGCAAGTCCCTTGTCTAAGCCTCGATACAGCAGCCACAGGTACCTGAGCAGTACCATGAAATATGCTACCTTGTAAGTAGCTCAGACACCGCTAGATTTGTCAGGTCTGTAAGGTTTCCTTGGCTGTAGAAGTGCAATCTCACCCTTCCTGGTTCTTGTTGCTTGTTTTCGTTAGTGAACTGCTGCACGATTTGGAAAGCTGCGACAGTGACCCTGTGGCCATCGCTGAGTGTTTCGTGTCCAAGGTAAGCAGGGGTCGTCCCTCTGGGCCAGCCAAGACGGACAGAGGACAGAGGGCCTTTCGTTTCAGAGCTGAAGTGATGGGTGGTCTGCACCCGCTGACGTGAGCCACCAGCTTCTCTCTGTGCGTTTTTTGTTTGCTCGTTGGTTTCTAACCAGCAAAGAAAGAGGCATCCTGAGGGAAAGGAAATGTGTCTTCCCTAGAAAAAAACGCTCAGTTCAGAAAGGAGTCCAAGTGGAAGAGCCTTAGAGAAACAGGCACGTATGAAGCAACAGTAGGTCACTATGACAGCATGAGTGTCTCCCCCCAAAATAGATATTGTTAGTTCTCACCTCTGGCCTTGTGATGCTAATCCCATCTGAGGACACTCACTGCCATCACGTTACTGCTGACTCAGCGACCCACGGTGGCTTTCCAAAACTGTAACTGTGTAAGGGAGTAGAAAGCCCAGTCTTTCTCCCGAGAAGCTTCTGGTGGTTTCGAACTGCCGACCTTGTGTATTGTGGCCCAACTCGTAACTACTACCCCACCAGGGCTCCACTCATGTGTGGAGGAGCTATCTTTATTATGTTACAGAGACATGACCAGTGTATCTTAATTCAATCTCTTACAAAATATTTTATTTTTAAAGAGCACAGCAAGAGTTACAGCCTAGGAAACCCACGGGGGACACTTTGAGCTATCCTGTAGGGTCACTGTGGGTCAGAATTGTCTCAATGGCAGGGAGTTTGGTTGAGGTTTGGGGGACAAGCAAAGGGAACAGAGGGCAAGGCAGGAGGTGTCAGATGCCAGGCCACATGAAGATCAATCACCCAGGAGCCAAAGCTCAGAAGAGACTGGGACCTTCCTCCCAAGCCAACAGAGACAGAAAGCCTGTTCTAGAGCACGCACCCTGGATTCAAACTTCAGCCTCCTGAATAAAGCGCAGGAACATAGACCCCCTTTGTGAGAGCGGCCCACTTGCAGTGATTCTGTTACAGCAGCTCGAGAGAACGCTGGCAGGTTTGGTACTAAGACGTGAGTTGCTGCTCTAACAAATCCACAGCATAGGACGGGTGTTCGAGCTGGCTAAATGGGGAGTGCTGGGAGAATTTTAAGGTGATTAATGGGCCGTAAACCAGGTCAGCAGTTTGAACCCACCAGCCCCTCCTTGGGAGAAGGTTAGGCTTTCTGCTCCCATAGTTACAGGCTCAGAAGCCCACGGGGGCAATGCTACTCTGTCCTGTAGGGTCGATCTGAGTTGCCATCGACTCGGTGGCAGTGAGAATAACGGAACGTCGGCTGGGAGAATTGTGGGTGTTGGGGAAATTCTGCTCAGGGCTCAAAAGGAACTGAGGAAGGCTAGAGACCAAGTCTTATCATCGTGCAGAATGTCGCTAAACGGGGTGTGTTCCATGGGCTTCTGGTAAGGCTTTAAAAGAAGATGTTGAACACACAATTAAACAGTGGAGGAAGGGTGGTCCTTTCAGTGCCGTGGCAAAGGACTTGTCTGAATGGCGTCCATGGTTTTGGTGGAACTTGGGAAGGTAGAGCGTTTGGCACTCCGCCTAAGATGGCTCAGCAGGTCTTACAGGGCCCGTGTGGTCTTTTTCCTAGCCACTTGGTAAACGCAAGAGGAAAGAGACAGATTAAAAATGAACTGGGCAAAATGAAATGAAAAGGGAAAAAAGACCCTTAAAGATTTGGAAAAATCTGTCCTGCACACGAAGGACCAGTGACCTAGAGTGTCCCGCCAGGGTGCGGCTGCCCAGCGTTTGGCTAAACAGATAAAGTCTGTGACTGATGAATCGAACCATCTACCGCAGCAAAAGACCCAACAGCTAGGCCGAAGGGGAGAGTGGAAGAATGCTGCCTGCCTCAAGGGATTCGACAAGCAGGAGACAGTCCTGGAGGTAAAGCGCTCTCCTCGGAAACCCATGGAAACCTGCAGCCCAGCCTCCCTCGCAAGCACTCGCTCCTTGGCTCAATGAATCATCTTCACCAACTGGCCCAGTGTGGGGCTGACAGGACGGGCGGGGAGAGGGGAGGAGGACTCTGCCCAAAGCTGAAGGGGCAGGTCGCCATGTTCCAAGGGGCCCTGGGGAGACAGAGGATATTGGCTTGCCTCTCAGATGAACTTGGAGGATTGACCCAAAGCCAAGGAGCCTGGAAGGTGGTGCTGAAGTCCAGAACCAAGAGGCCTCCATCCTGAGTCCAAAGAGTGTGGCCAACTCCCAGTGGGGCCTTATGAGCGCAGGATTCTTCTCAGCACCTGAAGACAACTGGACATGGTTCTGTTGAACACAAATACAATTTCGTTGAAGATCATTTTTTTAAAGGTTGCCGCAGTCCCTTGACAGGGAACTGCCAGCAATTCAAGCCCGATTCAGAAGAGGATGTGGAAGGAGGGGGCTAGCATTGCTGATGTCAGGTGGATCGTGGCTGAAAGCAGAGAATCCCAGAAAGATGTTTGGCTGTGCTTTCCTGAGGAGGCAAAGGCATCATTAGTGTGCGTCATAACAAATTTTGGATGGCACGGAGAAGAATGGGGATTCCAGAACACTTCATTGTGCAGAACCTGTACAAAAATAGGCCTTGTTCAAACAGGGCAAAGAGACAACTGCACGGTTTAAGAACAGGAAAGGTGTGTGCCGGGGTTGTATATTTCACCGTCCCTATCCAATCTCCGTGATGAGCAGGTAATCCAAGAAATGTGAAGTAAGGGGCATCGGGGTTGGAGGAAGCCTCATCAACAGCCTCCAATAGGCAGATGAGAACGGCTTGCATGCTGAAAGCACACTTGAAGCAGAGACTTACTACAACCTTCTCATGTAGATTCCACCTCAGTACAAAGAAAACAAAAGTCCTCGCACCTGGACCAGCCAGGAACATCCCGCTAGGCGGGAAAGATTAATGTCATCAAGAATGTCATTTTAGGGGGCGACGAGCCAGTCAGGGTGCACTATAGCAAGGAGGAGACATACAACTTTCCTCTATTTCTTAATGCTTCCTCCCCCCACTGTCATGATCCCAATTCTGCCTTACAAATCCAGCTAGACCAGAACATGTACACTGGTACAGATAAGAGCTGGAAACACAGGGAATCCAGGACAGATAAACCCCTGAGGACCAATAATGACAGTAGCAATACCAGGAGGGTAAGGGGAAGGTGGGGAGAGAAAGGGGGAACCGATCACAATGACCTACCTATAACCCCCTTCCTGGGGGACAGACAACAGAAAAGTGGGTGAAGGGAGACATCAGTCGATGTAAGACATGAAAAAAATAATTTATAAATCATCAAGGGTCCATGAGGGAGGGAGAAAATGAGCTGGTACCAAGGGCTCAAGTAGAAAGGAGGTGTTTTGAGGAGGAGGAGGATGGCAACAGGTACAGATGTGCTTGACACAATGGATGGATGCGTGGATTGTGATAAGAGCTGTACGCTCCCCCAACGAAACGATTAAAAAAAAATCCGTGGCCTTGTGCTGTTCTGCCAGCTCATTAGCCATTCCTGACTGCCCCACCACCCACAGCAGAAACAGCGGCCGGCCAGGGTTTGACGGGGAAAGCTTCGCAGGCAGTGCACTGATGCTGACCAGGAGCCAGAGATCTGAAACTTCAAAGGTCACTCGTTACAAAGAAACGTTCCTCCCCACATGACAGCAGGTTTCCAGAGAAAGCAAGCTTGCGATTGAAGCATCTCCTTTAGAGCCTACGGCTTCCGTTTGGAAAACCTCGGGCAGAAATGGCTTTGCAGCAAGTCCTCAGATGATCTCTGCCACGAGAGGTTCATTTGCACTGTAATCGTGTATGAAGGTTTCAGCAAAGTTTGCCGCGGGGCCTTGCGGCTGGGCACCGGAGAATTTGCTCATCACGGTCCCAGCGGAAACTGAGATGCCCTTCCAGCCTGACTTGGCTCCCGATTGGCATCAAGTGGCCACGTCGGGGGGCTGCAGAGCCCATCCAGTGGCGGTGAACCCCCACATAACACCCTGCAGTTATGGACTTCCCTCATAAAACTGTCTCCTGCCTTCGAGGCTGTCTGTCTGTAAAACATTTGTGTGCACACGCCTGCACGCTTCTTTTCACTCGCGGCCTGGGTCATCCTGAGTTCCCCGAAAGGATTTGAAGACCAGGAAGAAATGGGTAAAAAAAGATAAGCAGAGGATATCAAAGAAGACGTGTTCAAATACCCGCAGCCCACAGGCAGCCTTAGAAGTTTGCGGAAGCGTTGGGGCTCTCGCTGGTAACTGTAATCAGGAGTTTGATTAAAGAGGCTCCAGCAGATGCTTGAAGCTGGCCTAATTACTCACATAAAAGTCTGTTTATGCGCCACATTGCCAACTCCCAGATCTTCCCTTTCACGGTAACGCTGCCAAGGGTAATTACTAGACCAACTTCAGCCCTCCGTGCACTCACATGGGTGCAGGGACGGGTGGGGTGCAGGGCTCTGACACTCAGCACCCTGAAATCTGGGTGATGCAAACTTCCCTAGACTTGGGCAGCTGCCTAGCGCTGGGGAGGAATGGAAAATTGCTTTAATTGCCAGGCCGGTCATGGCTTCTGCTTTTATCTGAATCGCTGGAGCTTACCCTGACGTGCGCCCTGGCCCTCACCTGCGCTGGCAGGGTGTGTGGGTTAGAGAGCCCCTTCCCCACGCAAGCACGGCCCAGTTGCCTCTTAGGAGCGGCGTTGGTGATGGCAATGGGAAGGAGCTTTCCTCCTGGCCTCCAGGATGCCTGAGCCGCCGCCCAGCTGAGGGCTCTGGAGGCTCCTGGAACCAGCTTCCTTTGTTCCAGCGACTCTGGGAAGCCCCAGCCCCCCTGAACCTCCTCCCACCCAGAGGTGCCTTTCTCCTCTCTCTGCCACCCCAACCCACTCGCTGGAATGATCCTCAGGGAGGTGCTGTCAGCAGGCATTCCTATCGCCAGAGTGAATTCCAGTCAGTGTGCCCTGAACTTTGGGTGACGCTCACAGTGACCCTATAGGACAGGGTGGAACCTCTGAGTTTCAGAGACTGTC